CTGCTCGTAAATACTATTGTATTTCACCCTACCAGTTCAAATGGACAAACATCTGCGCTGACTCGTCATTCACTCTCCATAGAATCAACTGCAATTGTTAGGTTTTTCACAGCATGTTTTTGATCCAGACTGTCTCTGCTATTAATATAAAAAATATTTTACTCAGTAAAATAGTTACATTTGGGAATTCAAAACAATACAAGTTTCCAGATGAAAAAGTTGTTAAAAAACTACTCAAAAAAATTAATACACTAGGATGTTAGGAGCAATAGTGCAAAATATAAAAAAATGACTGCAGTTACTGCAGTAAGTGTTTTGATGGTACTACTAGGACAACTCAAATGTCTTAATTCACAGAGTATCCTATTTAGAACGAAATGCCAGACCAAAAAAATTGGCTTGTGTTAGTGGCGCCATCTCTTGTGAGATATAGAGACAATGTTGGGCAGATGAGTTCTGATTATTTTCAAAAGAACTAAATAAGTAAATAACTTGTTTCAGTTGCTTGTCAAAAGTTTACTTTGTGATTTGAAGAAAACGGGATATAAGTAATATACAAATACAAGATTCAGTGCTTTCACTTTTTAATAACTCTAGCTCATCTGCAGAAAAATCTCTTTCACAAGCATAACCAGATATTAAATTTCCAAGTTGTTATGCTTGTGATTGTCTGACTAGCTGTTACCCATTATTGGATTATATCGAAGCAATCTTTATTTGTCTGAAAACATCTTATTTGTGATTAATGGATTATATATGAGAGAAGTAATTACTTATATCGCATATCAAAGAGGTCGAAGTTTGAAATTTTTGAAGGTGTTGAAGTATCTTCACGTATATCACAGAACATGTACAAAACACGAAATGAGAAGTGTATCCAGCTGCTGATAGCGCCATCTAGCTTGCGGTATATAGTAATTTTATCTGTGTCATTTTTAGTCCATTTAAGCTTCCCCCGCTCTGCCAAAATTCTTCAGGCGGTTTCGTTGTAACTTGTGGAATAGAAACATTAAAGCTGAAGTTTTCGCCTAAAATCCGCCAGTCTGGTTTTATAAAATACTCGCTCTGTCAAGATAATTCGTGATATACCTTACATGTCATAATCTGTCAGGTTGTAGCTGATTTGAAGCAGACATTTTTAAATAAATTGCCATTATAGTGAAATATTTCAACGATTGATTTTATCCAAGTTTCAAAAGATCAATTTATTCCAATATTTATATTTTATTTCTTATTAAAATTTACAGGATAAAAGATCATGTAAATGACTTAGTAATTATCTTAGTAACAAAGTAGAAGGTTTTCTTTAAGCTTTACAAAACGTATTGCGAATCCCACAAGGCCGTGAAAATTGCTCAATGTGCAATTTTGTAGAACAAGAAGTATCTTTCAAGTACTTAGTCCTATAATATGATTAAAAGCTTGACATATTTGACTAACCATTACCTATATACACGGGGGCCGAAAGGTCAGTGGATTTTATTATCTACATATGTGGTTTCATTTATGGACCGGCGAAATATAGAAATGAATTAGCAAGAGAACCACAGAATCATATTTCGAGCTACATTATGATTAAAACTGTTCACAGAAACGATCGGTATCGATTATTATATTTGATTAAGCATGTGTGGATGAGATACTAGAGACAATATAGACTGACATACCTACATTGATCTAAAAGCTCTGAAAAATAAGAAAAACTGTTGAAAAATCATAGGTTTATTTGAAAGAATCAAAGATGGATCCGTCAATGAGAGATAATGGCACTGATTATTAACTCTATCTATGTTTCTATACGCAATGTAGGATATAAGCTGACCAAATATCTATATTTGCTACAATACATCTTTCTTGCTGAAATCTACTTTGTATATCCTCGCACAGAATTTATGGCATCCATGCCCCAATAGGATTTGTATTATCACAATGTTATGATGTCTCTCTCAATCGGTAGGAATGATATGCTTGTTTCCAGAGGGATGATGATAAAAAGTGGGGTGAATATATTACCTGGACACAACGGAAGGGTGCTGTTTAATTTTTAACACCTTTTGAAACGGTATCGCTTGGGCAATATGTAAATGATATCCTTTTTTTTGGTGAAGTCACGGCTACCCCTGATACGGCTCCTGCACACATCATATTTTAGTACTTGGGGAACGTCCAAACCTTCTAGCATAGTCAGAAGGGACTGCAGTACAGCAATATCTGGAGTTAATAAAACATACACGAACAAGAACATATTGATTGGAAGTAAATAACTTGCAACTCTACCGGGTGTTTCAAATTCGACCCTCACCATTGGCATCTCGGAAACTGTAAGAGATACGAAGTCGCTCAAAAGGGGAGAAAGTTGGGAATTTAGGTAATTTAAAACAGTCCACTTGAAACGTTTCGAAACTCAAACTATTTCCGGAGGGAGACGGGAACAACTTAATTTTACCAAAATCGCTTCAATCTTTTCATTTGTAGTAGGATTTCAAAATAAATTGCACAATAACTTTGCCACTTGTTCTCCCCTATAAGATGGTATAATTAGACTTCCAATATGACGTATTGGCTCTTGTTCTCCAGCCTCGTCATTATTTTGTATTACAGACGCCATTTGGACATTTGTACAGATCAATAGAGTTTTTGATTTCGATTCCAAAAATGTATAATATGTCAACACTGACATCTCCAAATCTGAGTTATTTCAAAAAAGCAGAATTTCTTAGGTAGGCCTTGAAATTATTTATTTGGCATAAGAAATGTATTACAAAATCATTTTTATTGCATGTTGCTATTGTCACTTATTCTCCTCTACAAGATGACGTAGTAAATTATCAACTCGAGGTTTCTTCTTTCTACTTCCATAACCAACTTTGTGTTTTCATATGGACGCTATATTAGAATTTTGTACATTTAAATGGACTCTTCAGTCCTAAATTCAGTGATGTATTTCTTTAGTTGGCCATAAATTTGTTGTTGGAAAGCTATAAGGAAATAAAATGTATAGTGAAACCTGAACAAACAAAAAATTTTATTTTATTGATGGTAATAACAACAATGATCATAAGTAAGTAGAGGTAAATCATAGCAGATGTTAAAAATGCTGTCCGTTATTTTGTAGAAAAAGCCTGACTGTGCATTGTTCACTGCTCGATTTATTGTTTCTCTTGTTCTCAGTTTTCCAAACACTGTTAATATGTTCAATTTGTGGTCTGGTCTGATATACGAAGCAAATTACTATTTGATAATTTCAAGATCTACCTAGGAAATTCTGATGTTCTGGAATAACTAAGGTTTAGCAATGTCAATGTATGACATATTATATATGTACATGTTTGGATTTGGAAATAAAAGCTTTATTTACCAGTGTCACTTGATTATGTGTATGGAAACCTATCGGAACAGTTTCGCTTCTCTTCACTTTGCTTCCTTTCCCCTTAATACGGGCGCACCTTAACACCATATGTCATCAACTGAAAAATAACGTACAAATATTTAAGCCGGGCATTGAATTTACGCACATGGCACATCCTAGTCTAGAGTTTCCTGGAACGACTATTCAAACATTTTATGAAAAATATTTCTATGTATCTAAGAAGTGTAAGCATATCTGTGTCTGCATAGAATTCTATAAAAGTACATAGGTATATCGCTGTTCTGGTTTACATTTCATATCTGAGATATCTTTGAATATAAAGCATTGCTGGAATATTTTGTGACTTTTTTTTCTGTGAGCGAAATACCGAGAACTATTAGCACCGAATATTGAACTCGAATATATCCATGTATATCCAACAATAACAATATTTGTATACAAGGTACTTCCTATGCATGGGAGAAATTCAAGGAATAAAGTAGATATACTCTATTTTAGCATGATCACAAGTGTTGCTTGATATATGTGTAGTATGCAACGTATTCAACTTCAGTCAGAATGTCATGTTTCGGTTTTCTCTTTCTATAGGCTGACAAAATAATGCAAGGTTATTTAGTATTGAGCCATATCCAGCTTTTATTAGCTTATTAGTCTTTCCACATATTCACAAGGGTATGGACAGTGTAAACTAATAACTTCGGATGGCCACAACACAACCTATGGGGTTACAATTCTGGAATCAAACATTACATAAGAAAGACCCTTACAACAATAATAAAAAGAAGATGGAATAAATCTGCACTGAAGTTAGTTCGGCCTACTACGACATATTGTTTGGGAGCCCAGGGTAATTCATTGCTAAAGTCTAATAATTTAGAGTAGTATTCAGTAAATATACTAACTAACAAAGAAAAGAAAATATCCAGTGAGAATAGTGTTATTTGAATAAAATTTACAAATAAAAAATTTCAATACCAGGAAGCTGGCGGAACACCTGCATATGGGGTAAACTTGAATTCATGCACAGAATAGCACTAACGAGTGTAAGATATTTTCTCCTTCACAATGGATTGCATTAATAATGTCGTAAGTTTAGATAAGTATTTTGAAATATGGTGTAAATAAACTATTGCACTGGAGAAGGCTGTCAACGTGATACAGGTTGAATTAGATTAGCAGCAAAAGAGACTGCTCGCAGAAGCGTTTTGGGTAAATATTAGGATCTGCACTGATGACCCGCAGGCAATAACATCTCTCAACCTTTAGTCATAGCAAGATGTACTAGATTGTCCTTCTGCGTTTTGTGAGCATCACTAGCAAAGGGGACTACTGAAACCATAAGTCTGTTTCCAGATCCGCCTCTGTATTTTACCCCTCAAAGGGTATTCTCATGGACTTTCCAAATACCTGTGGGATGATATATGCCAAATTATTCAGCTATCATAGTAGTGAGGTGGTGAAATGCTGCTACGTATAGCTTCAGCTTCCAACTGACACCGCTACTAGACACCGCCAGCAAGGAAACATCTGTATGGCATGAAAGTAAGGAGTATGTTCTTGTGCAATGAATGTGAACCGGAAGACGAAATAGTTTAGCTAGCTTTGTTAGCAAACATCTGACTTTTAAATATCAGAATCCATTCTGGGAGAGATTTGCGGAGGAAATTCCGTTATCACCACCGCCTTCAATAGTTTTGTACAGCTGATGATGCTTGTAGAACAGCTTGGAGGCCTGTAAAAGGAAACCCATGGGGCACAAGTGTCCTTGGTTATCTGCTTCCAATACAGAGTAGAGAGTACCAAGGCACTGCACATCAATACAGAAAAATATTTACCGGTATTCTTTTCAAAGCCAATCGTGCACCTCCCACGCTGTACGACCACGTAAAACAGCTTTTCTGGGCAGGATGGGCATGGGAGTAACACGTAGAGAGGCGCTGTAGAGTTTTTTACAATTGCTCAATTCCTGTTCTATACTTTGCTTTGCGTTTTACAACAACAAAGCAGTTTGGCTTTTGCAGATTGCTTATTAATAGTTTGCTCGCACGAACATCGGACACCTATAGTGAGAAGAAGAAGCACACGGATGCCAGTGTCAAGGCCCTTGTCAACAACTACGCATGACTGTACATGTTATTACTATCCATGCACAGATGACGATGAGAGTTTATAATATTATGAAACATAAATTTTGGGAGGTTTCAGAAGCTGTTGCCATTCCGCTGGATAGCCAACTTCCCCCGAATATCCCCGTAATTCAGGAACTGGAACGTTATTTCGTCCTCCCTCCAGCAAAAGGGTCTGCAGTGACCGGTGAGAACCCCCACCAAAGGGTTGAGTGATTTACTACACTTTTCCAGTAGCCAACGTGTCCGCCGTTTGTCGGAGCCCGCTACGAACCTCGTGGCCTGTCTGCAGTCATCTCTCCCTCACCATGTGCTTTCCAGGTCCCTATAGGTTATAGAATACTTCCTTTTTTTCTATTTGTAGATAAAGTGAAGACATCTTTAAGGGTATTTGTGATTGTTGGTCTGAGCGTTTCGTGTAGTAATATTTTTCCTTCGTAATGGGTAATGGATTTACTGCCATTGGTAATTTATATGGAACTGTATAAATTATCAACCTATATTTTGCAGTAAGTCATACTGACGCTATATTTTCATTATTTAATAATATTTGTTTTATTACTCGGATTCCTATTTCCGACATGCAATTTATTTGATTAATATTCGTTGATCATTTTCCTCACGTATTTCAAATTTTGAATTTACTGTTTAGTCTCCTCATTGAGATGTTGATCAGTTGGGTGCCTCCTAAGATTTGATATGTGAAACAACAGTTTGGTGAGGTTTTTCAGACTCTGCCATTCATTACAATAAATGAGTGCGAGGTGTGATTCACCAGTTGGGTGCCTCCTAAGATTTGGTATGAGAAGTAAAGGTATGTTGAGGTTTTTGAGAGTTGGTCATTTTTTACAATAAAAAATGCGAGGAGTGGTATGAGTTCCGAAAAATATCCTTTTCAAATCAGAAATAGTTTTATAATCCGTATACCTCGGTTAGAGCCGCCTAGAAACAGGCGCTCGATTAATTCAATTGAGTGACTTATGGGTCATCAAAGAGGTAGCTGATAATGTGTGATATAACTCATATTACTTAAACAGATGGTGCTAGCAGCTATAAAGAACGATTGGGAAACATTATAGAATCATGTTTATAGTACGAGCTAATAGAAATTTTTATAATAGTAGTAGATGTATTACGATTCTAATAGATGGAACAACACTGGTATCTGTAGTTTTCTTAATATAAATGCAAATGCAAGAAACCAAGGATATGTATTGTTATGTTTATTAGTCAAGGCTTGTTGCTAAACTGCGTAGATCTAGCGCATACTTTTTGGGTACCAAAGGTAGAAATTAATATTCTGGCTGTTCTTTAAACAGGGATAAAATTAACAAGGCGAAGAAACCATTATTATATCCTTAAACAGCAGCAATGGCAGGATATGAAGATAGTAGGGCACCTTGCTCGGATCTTCTAAAATGCTATCTATGTTATAACGGAGTGCTGTGGGTCTTAAACCATGGAACTCGGTTCCACCGAATGTAGTTTTTTGTGAAATGCGTTCAAAATATTGTATATATTGTTGTTCAAGCCTATAATATACCAGCAGATAAGAAAACGTCAAGTCGTTTACGGCTTCCTAACTGATATACTAGGGACCGATTTTACTATTGATCCAGGGGATCAAAAACGAGAAGACATGTTTGTAGTAATGTATCAAATGAATATCGATCGATTTCTTTTAAAATACTGTCTAACTAGCGAAAAAATGTACAATTTGTGTAAAAAGGGCCTTTAATCCCTATAATAAATCAAGAAATTCTTAATAAATCACTTACTTTAGCATCAAAACCTATGATCCAGATCAACAATGGCCAATTAGAAAACGTTTTAGTCAAACTGAAAAATAGGCCAATCGGAAAGAAGTATGAATTCACCTTGTAGATGACCAAGTTCAAAACAAACATGATCTCTTAAGAAAAAATTGAAAAAAACCCGCCTGTCGTCCTTCAAGATAAATAGAGGTTAATAGTTAATAGTTTCTGGTTTACAGTTATTTCAAACACCTTTATTTGGTTTAGACGAATATATACATATATATATATATATATATATATATATATATATATATATATATAGGTGAAAAATTAAAGCTTCCGCTTTTTGTTGGGTACTTCGACAAGATTTAAGCAAAGAGGACTCTTTATACTTTTTTAATTCTCTCTAGCTTTCAATGGACTTTGCCATCATCATCAGGAGCTGCAATTACAATGATAACAGTAGCAACAAAGGTGTAAAATGAATTTAAATTGACTCAACTTACAGTAGTATGTGAGAATGTTGCTAATTGTTGTTTACGCATATGATGAGGGAAACGTCCAGTAACATGGTGAGAGCTGAATAGGTTGCACAATAGTCAAAATTTATACAAAACATGACAAGAACACGTTAAAAACAGATTAAAAATTATTTTAAAAAATTAGAACATTACATCGTGAAACCACCTGATGATTGCACAGATTAGTGGTCATGGAATGATGAATTGATGAGTGACATGAAACCCTTTGACAGAATGCCGAAGGATGTCAATGTCAGTATTGAAAGATGGAACGAATTGTGGGCGTGTGCCAAAAACGTTGCCAAATCACTTCAGATGAAGAGATTTACAGAATTTTATGATGGAATTTGTTAAACCGACCAGAGGCAGTTGAATAAACTATATTATTATTAATGGGAATTTAAATTAACAATTATTAATAAATCGTGAGGAGAGAATTATTATATTTTGAGTGGAATGAAATTTACTGGTGGAAACGGCCAAAACACAGATTCTAATTATGGTTGTGAAGAGTTGAAATTTGGGGAGATATGTAAGTTCTCCAATTTTTCGCAGTTTAGCAAATATGAGTAAATGACACTCAGTTGTTTAACATCTGTCTTTTTGTTGATACAGTTGTTATTCATGAAAATGTGGGACATTTCCAGGAATAAACGTTTGGAAAGGTGTTTTTCTTTATCAAGAACTTTGATACTTGTGTAATTCATAGAGTGCCCTGTTGTGTTAACATGAGATGCTAGAGCGCATCTTTCAGGATGAAGCCTAGCATCACTTTTGTGTGATGTAATCCTTCCTTTAAGAGATCTGGAGGTCTGACCTATGTATATTTGGTTGCAGTTGTTGCAATTGATGGAGTAGACTGTGTTGGTTAAGCCAAGCAGCGGGACTTTGTCTTTCATTTTTGAGAAAATGCAGTTTATAGTGAGGACGGATTTGCAAGCAATTCGAAAGTTCAAAGGACTGCACAATCTGATCAGCTTAGGGGTCAGTTCCTTGATGTAGGGCAGGACAGCAAAACCAGGTCTGGAGTCCGGGTTGGTGCTAGTACTGTTAGGATTGATGTTATTATTGGGAATTACATCAGTTCCGTTATTGGGGGTTGTGCGACTATTACCTGCATCACCAGAGTTCGGCAAAATATTGGAAGGTGAACTAAAAATGATCTTGTTAATCAGACACTTCGGATAACCATTATTGATGAACAGTTTTGATAGTTTACGTAAATTTGAGGTGTGGAAGGTATTATCTGAGATGCTGATTACCCTTGTTTTCATCTGTTTTACCAAATTGATTTTAATCCCTAGTTTATGGTATGACCTAAAATTGAGAAACCGACCTGAGGCCATAGGTTTCTGGTACCAGTCTACCAATAAACTGTTGTTGTTGGTGCGAATGAGTCTTGTGTCTAGAAAGGGGACAGACAGGTTCTCATCTTCTTTTTCAATGGTAAATTGGATGTAGGGGTCATAGCTGTTGAATTCTCTGACAATACCATCCAGACCTATGGAAGGGAGGCATAAAATAATGTCATCTACGTATTTTTTTATGAAGAAGAGGTTATAGGGTAGTGTCGGAATAACTGTATCAAGCAGATCATCCATGACATATTCCGCCAAAATTGGTGACAGAACAGATCCCATAGGACAACCATGTGTTTGAGAATATATTTTGTTGTTGAAAGAGAAATAATTGTTATGAAAAAGGAATGTTATAATGTTGGTGAAAGATTCTAGAGATATGTTGCAGTGTTGACTTATCTCATTCCAGTGTTTATTAATAGTTCTTGTACATGCATCCAGATAGATGTTGCTGAATAGCGACACCACATCAAGACTGGCGATAATATGATCGGCTGGTATTGTCAATCTATTGAACTGACGAGAGACCTCAAATGAGTCTTTGATGTAGTAATCATTGTCTGCATGTGCTGATTTTAGTGTTGTCGATATTAATGAAGACAAAGCCTGGGTGGCTGAACCTATTGATGCAACTATAGGTCTTACTGAGAGTACAGGTTTGTGAATTTTCGGAAGTGCATAAAATTTTGGAGGGACAGAGTTATAAGTAGTCAAAGTTCTTTTTTGTTCTTGGGTTATTTGTCCAGTGCTGAGGAGTTCCTTAACAATGTCATTACTTTTCTTTTCCACTTTAAGTGTGGGATCTTTATTAATTTCATGATATGATGGGTCATCATTGATGAGATTGTTGCAAAGATCTAAATAGTGTTGTTTAAGCATTATCACTGTAACATTGCCTTTGTCAGATCTTGTAACCATAAGTTCAGGATGTTGTTTTAGAAATGTTCTAGTTATGTTTAAAAGGTTGTGATAAAAGGAATGTTTTTTATTAAGATTGTTATTATGATAGTAGTTAGTGATGAGGTTAGTGGAACGAGTTGTGAAA